AAAGATTTTAGGGTCACGGAGGAGGGGAAGAAAATGTTCAAATAAATGAGAAGAACAAAGGAGGAGAGGGTAGAAGAAAAAATAAAAGAAAATAGTAGAAAAAAATGGAAATAAAGAGCAGGAGATGGGTTGAAGAGAGGAGAGGGGATCGGGGGCAGGGGGGAAAAACAGTCAAGATATATTATGCAGCTGGCGTGGTGGCGCCCACCTATAATCCCAGCACTTGGGAGGCTGAGGCAGGAGGATCGCTGAAGTTCAAGTTCTGGGCTGCAAAATGAGTTCAAGGCCAGCCTCAACTGCATAATGAAAACCTGTTTTAAAAAACAACAAGATATATGCCTTTACAAATATATCTCTAAGGGGCTGGGTGGATAGTTCAGTAGAATAAGAGCTTGCCTGGCAAGCTCCAGGGCCTGAGTTCATATTCCTGGTTCTGCCAACAAACAAATAAATATATCTCAAAAAAAAAATACTGAAGAGTAAAGTATAATAAACAGATATTGAAGATAGTGCAGTTAACTTTGGGAAGAATAAAATCTTTTAAATAGTAATATTTTTATCAAGGAATATAGGAAACTTTCTGAGGAATTCTTGATAGGTTTTAGTCTCTTCTATTGTACATATTCAAGAATGTTTTGAAATTAATACACATCCAGTTTTTAGCAAGTGTGTTCAGTTTTAGCAGCTTTGATCAGAAGTTATCCCACTTGTGCTGACAGCAAAAATAAAGATGTATTGAGTAAGGAAAAGAACCATTGGGCCGGGGAGATAGCTCAGTAGAATAAGCGCTTGCCTGGCAAGTGCAAGGACCTGAGTTCAATCCCTGGTTCCACCAAAAAAAAAAAGGAAAGGAACCTTTGCTTGTATCAAGGACTTCCTTGTAATGAGCAGAAGTACAAGAAGCATCTTTCATGGGGCATCACTTTGTCCTCTTGTTTGCCTTCTATATTTTTTTCTTTTCTTATGTATTTGGTACAGGATCTCACTACGCAGCTCAGACTCGTGGTGATCCTCCTGTTTCAGCCTCCTCAGCACTCAGCGCTGGGATTACAGGCATGTGCCACCTCATCCGGTCTTGGTGGCTCCCGGGGGCAGGGCTGGCACAGCACGTGCAGAGGAGCAAATGCCTTCTATATTTGATCACAATTAAATCAGGGTGAAATTGCAGTTTCAGGCCCAGAGTTCAATATCTTATGTATTATTTTTAGCTTTCTATTAATAGCATCGTAGATTCACGTGCAGTTGTAAGCAACAGTGCAGAAAGATCCTGTAGGCCCTGCTCAGTGCGACCTTAGAGAACTGTAGAGAGATATCACAACCAGGAAATTGATGATACAGTCGTGCCCCTGATTCACATTTGTCAGTTTTCCACACACTCATTTGTGCATATTTGCTTATTTGCGGTTTAATGCACAAATTGGTGCAAGATAAAGAACTACGGCATTACCCGAACTCGTTACTCTACCTTTGTGGCCTCAGCCACCTCCTTTGTCATCGTCCCAACCACACCCCTGTCAGCCACCAACCTTTCCTCCATTCCCATAATTATGTCATTTGAAGAATACTGCATAAATGGATTCATACAGTATGTTGTTCTCTTTTGAGATTTGACATTTTTCACTTTTTTGTTCTTTTGTTTTTACCTTGAATATCTTTTAATGCTACAAAGCATCATTTTTAATCTGATCTTTTTAGGCTAGGGCGATAGCTCAGTGGCATAAGCACCTACCTGGCAAGTGCAAGGTCCTGATGCCAGTTCAATTCAATGCAAGTTCAATTCCCGGTGCCAAAAAACAAATAAATCTGATCTTTTTATTTTGGTAGAGGGCAGCCTATGGTATGCTTGTTTCATAATTAAGATCCAAAATTTGTTACTGATACAAAAGGAAAGTCATTATTTTCACTGTTAGCTTGATGATTTGATGGTACAGAAACTTATGAAATTAATGGTATTCAAATTTGGTAATTTTACTTGGTTTTTCTAAAAATAAATAAGCTAATAAAGCATAAACATCCTCATGTTTTCTGGGATAGCAATTTTTCCATGTTATAAACCGTATTAATATGTTACAAGGAAACTCTGTCAATGTCAAAATATATTGGAGCAACTGTGAAGGATATTATAACCTAGGAGAGATTTTATATATTATATTGCAAAGTTGACATATTTTTTTTAGATTGTTGTCATATCTCTGGTGAGAAACTGGAAATTAAGACATAATGTTCAATTTTTCTTTGCCTGAAAAAGTGGTGACAGCTAGAGAGGTTTTTCTGTATCTTTTTTAACTGTTCCCTCCTCCTTGATGATTTTTTTATTACTGTTCAATCTCGATATTAAAATGGCCTGTTTGTTTCCAAAGCCCCCTATCATTTTCAGATAGCATATCTTGCCTTCCTAACAACCCTGTCCCTTTCCATTTTCTGCCGTGTTCTTTGTAGAATGTGAGCCAATAGAAGCAATAGCCAAGTTTGACTATGTCGGGCGCTCCGCCAGAGAACTGTCCTTCAAGAAGGGCGCCTCCCTGCTGCTGTACCACCGCGCCTCCGAGGACTGGTGGGAAGGCCGACACAACGGCGTGGACGGGCTCGTGCCGCACCAGTACATAGTAGTGCAGGACATGTGAGTAGTCCCTGCTCCAGATGCCGGGGCCCTCTCCGGAGAGGATGCTCCCTGTTGTCCTTGATTGAATGCTGGTCTTCTGAGAAAAGAGCCAAAGAGGTTCCAAGGACTGAGCTGCAATCAGTCCTTCTCCTTCCACCAATTCTGTGGTGACAGTAGCTCAGGTGGCCCTTGCCCAGATTCTGCCTGTACGAAGCAGAGGGAGGCATCTTTTGACACAGTCTTAGGAAAAAAACTCCTGCAGAGGCTGCCTTAGAGAACTCAGGTGACACTGCAGAGGCACGAGCATCAGCTCTCTCCTCTTGATACCTGTCTGTTCTTTCATTTTCAAATTCTCAAGAGAGAAGATGCTGGTTGTCTAAAGCAGTCACCTCGAGGATTTTTGCTGTTAAGTATGCTGAGCAAGCTCTACTTGCAAAAATATTTAAGGATGTGGGAAAAGGGCCATAATATGTTAAATGAAAGAAACAGCTTACAAAATAATGTACACAGTATAATCCCTATTTCCTGAGCTTTGTATTTGACAATGTGTTGCCAACCTAAGAGTAGCTTTTCAGGAGAAAAAGAAAGATACTATATAAAAATAAGAAAGTATTTAATGATTTAGCATAATTTTAGAAATATTAAAATGAGTAGATCCGAACCCAAGAAATACTGTGTGTGTATATAAGTGTAGGGTCCTATATAGCTAAACTATCTAACAGGTAGACGGCCAGAGTATAAATATTGTAAGCACATAATCATATATATGTATTCCAAGCATAGGAAAAAAATCTAACAACAGTTGTCTCTGGATATTATAGGTGATTGTTGTTTTATTCTTTTTGTGTATCTGAAATTTTCAGTTTACCTACAATTAAACTGAATAATTTTTAGATGAATAGTACATTCATTTTAAAAAAATCATACAAACATAAATGCCAGGCCTTCTGTTTCTGCTTCCACTTGTCTAGTGTAAGACCCTCACTTTTGATTGTCCCTGTTTCAGGGATGACACTTTTTCAGACACTCTGAGCCAAAAAGCTGACAGTGAGGCCAGCAGCGGCCCAGTCACTGAAGACAAGTCATCCTCCAAGGACATGAACTCGCCCACAGACCGCCACTCCGATGGCTACTTGGCCAGGTAAGTGGAGTCCCTGAGCCGGCTCCAGGCCTCTGCTTTGCCCAAGGCTTTGAGGCGCCCCCTCCCTCTCCCTTGCCTTACTGCTCAGTGTGACAAGCGCTCCTACTTTCTCTTTCTCTCTGTGGATGTCTAGACAAAGAAAACGAGGAGAGCCACCCCCTCCACTAAGACGTCCTGGCAGGACCAGTGATGGCCATTGTCCCCTCCACCCCCCGCATGCTCTTTCCAACTCCTCAGTTGACCTGGGGTCCCCCAACCTGGCCAGTCAGTCCCGCGGCCTGCTGCAGAACCGTGGCCTCAATAATGACAGTCCTGAGAGGAGGCGCCGGCCTGGCCATGGAAGCCTGACCAACATCAGCCGGCACGACTCTCTCAAGAAGATCGACAGTCCTCCTATCAGAAGGTCCACATCATCAGGGCAATATACGGGCTTCAATGACCACAAGCCACTGGACCCAGAGACAATTGCTCAGGTACAGTGCTTTTAATGGAATATCGTGTTTTAAATACCTCAGCATGATGAAGGTGACATGAAGGATTTGTACTCTACAGCTATGTTTATGTATAGAACCAACTAAATAAAACACAAAGGAAATTAGCTCATTCTATTATCTAAGGCCCAGCTGTAGGTCTCATTTGAAGAACTATTGTTATTTGAAAGTCCCTAGTGCATTCCCCGGTATATCTCAGCTTTTATATTCATTGAAACAGAGACATAGGTCTGGTGAGATAGCTCAGCAGACTAAGCACCTGCTTAGGCAAGCGCAGGGAGACTGGAGTTCAATCCCCGGTTCCGCACGCTGCACTGGCCCCACCCCGGGCGCATTGAGCCAGCGACCAAGTCCGGACATGGTGGCACATACCTGTAATCCTAGCACTGGCGAAGCTGAAAACAGGAGGATCACTAGGTATCTGAGCTGTGTAGTGGGACCCTGTACAAAATATATAAAATCAATGAATAGAGACATAGCAGAAATGCAGGATCTGAGACATTGAAACCCATCTCTGGTGAATAGCCATGAAATTTTTGAACAAAAGAATGAGAGAGAAAAAAAAAAAGAATGAGAGAGTACTAACCCTAGCAGATTATAGATAAATTGCAAAGCTAGGAAAATAGATAGATAGATAGATAGATAGATAGATAGATAGATAGAGCCCAGAACCAGAATGATAAAGATGACACTTCCAATTTGGAGCAAGATGGTTTAGTCAATAAATAATGTGTTAATAATGGTTACCATTTGAAGAACGGCAGAACTGGGTGCGAGGTGCCTTTACCTCCCAGTACTGACTGCAGAGAGGGCACCGTAATTTGTTTCTAATAATTAGAATTAACAAAGTAAAATGGTATTAGTGAAACTGTGTATTGTTCTATCATTTTGCCCTCTGGTTTCTTTTTTTAATGCAGCATAAGGTATCAGAAAATATGTTGATAGCTAGGACAGAGGAGGTAAGCTGATTCAGAGCTTGACCTTTGAGTACTCTCAAGCATCTTCCACCTATCACTCAATTTTAAAAACTACCAAAATAGGTGTTTTTAAAGAGAGAATAAATGAGAACTGAATAAAACAAGCCCACGCAGGTACCACAATGGGTTTCTCTTAAGGAAGAGCACCTAAGGAAACCTACCCTGATATGACAAATTTCTAAGCTATTTTGAATGTCCTAATGAAGAAGAATTTCTGATAACAAATTACAAGTAGATTGTATGAGGAGTTTAATGTGCTTTTTTTTTTAATTTATTTATTTTATTCATTTATTTGTGTGTGTGTGTGTGTGTGTGTGTGTGTGGCCAGCTCAGCCCACCAGGGGGCGGGGCTGGCTGGCATGTGGTGCTGGGGGATTGAACCGCGGTCCCTGTGCGTTGCCAAGCTTGTTCCAAGTAGGTGCTTTAGACCACTGAGCCATCTCACCAGCCCAATGTGCTTTTTTTAATTAAATGGTTTTTAAGTGTACAACAATTTCTCAGCAAGAATCAAAAAGGATTTTGACCTTTTTGGTTTTTTCTATTAAAGTGCTATGTAAGGCCCTCTGAGACAAATTTAGAACTAGTGGTATTTGATTATAGCAGAATTTAATGATTTGAAAACCCATAACATTGTCATATGTTATAAGCAAGTGAAACATCACGTGGGTTAGGGAGATACATAGGGACTTGGGAGCAGGAAGGCATAAATTCTGTTGAATACTTTTGTGTCTAGAACCAAGAAATTCTCTTATAAATCAAAAATCAAAACTCAGTAGCAGGCCAAGTAGATGGCTCAGTGGAATGAGCGCTTCCCTGGCAAGCACAAGAACCTGAGTTCAATCTCCAGTTCCGGGAAAAAAAAAACAAAAAACTCAGTAGCTAAAACAGGCTCTACACATACTCTCTAGGCAGAATAATTGTAAACAGCCATCCACACACTTAGCAGCAAACAGAAATACATCTGAAAGTAATCACTTGAAAGGCGATATCACCCTCACAGAATGGCTCTTGGCTTTATGTTTCCATCTTTAAGGCTGAGATTTTCCCATAAAGGCAAGTAAATGTGTGTTATATAAAAATATATATATAAGTTTGTATATAAAAATATGCAAATTATTTTATCAAATCCATTGAACGTGATCATTATGATCTAATTTATTCTTTTTTTTTTGTTGTTGTTTGTGGAACTGGGGATTGAACTCAGACCCTTGTGCTTGCCAGGGAAGCGCTTATTCTACTAAGCCATCTCCCCAGCCCCCTAATTTATTTATTATTGGAGACTAAATTAACATCATGTCTGGCTCATTCATTTAATAAACTTATTTATCACTTACTGTATGCCAGCTCCTATGATAGGTTTTGTAGCAAAAAAGTTAAAAGGTGGCTGTTTTCCAGCCTGTATTCCCATAGCAAACGTGCTGTCTATGTACAGTGGAATGCTACTCCGCTATAAAGAATAAACTCATTTGAGACATTTATAGGAAAATGGAGGAACCTGAAAAATGTAATGTTGAGTGAAATAAACCAGACAGACATGCATGCTTAAATTGCGGGTGGTGCCTTTCATGTGAGTGAGGTGAAGTATAAATAGAAAATGCTGAAGGAGGGATAGCGAGGGACAAAGGGATGGATGTCTTGTGACAGGGAAGTGGTTGGGTGAAGAAGGGCAAGGAGGAGGAGAAGCGGAAATGAGAAGAATAAAGCTGCACTGTGTTCTGGAGCCTCATAGCCCCAAGGAATGTAAAACACTGGCTGCCATCACACAAGCTCAGACACACTACCAGTAAGTACAGGGCCGGCGAGATAGTTCAACGGTCTAAAGCACCTGTTTATGCAGGCGTAGGCAGGCACGGGATTGTTGTTCGATCCCTCGCACCAGATGCTGCGCCAGTCCCACTCTTAGGATGGGCTGAGCCGGCTAATAATAATAATAATAATTACAGAAATTATTATTGGAAATTATTATTACCAGGGGTGCCATGTACCTATAACCACTGCCTAAGATGATTATAAACTGCATGAATTGCAAAGATAAACTAATAAAACTAAGCAGCTGCTTGCTCAAAGTGCTTGCCATGTAGTGGGGAGAAGGATTTGGGAATCAGTGACTGTTGTTCAGCAGTCAAAGAATTATGCTGCAGGCAGCGGGAGAAATCCCAGAGAGGCAGGGAAGACACATGCATCATCCAACGGCAGGTTTCCTACCGCACCTCACGTAACACTCTGCTGTTTTCGTGTGACTTTTAAAAGTCATTTTAAATTTTGCCACCTTACCCATATTGAAATATGTAGCTCAGCCAGGCATGGTGGCACACACCTGTAATCGCAGCACTTGGGATGCTGAGGCAGGAGGAGAGCTGCAAGTTCAAAGCCAGTCTGGGCTGCTCAGCCAGATCCTGTCTCAAAAACACAAAAACAACCCCCCCCCCAAAAAAAAAAGGCTATTTCAGTATATTCACATCCTTCTGAAACAAAACTTTTTCATCTTACAAAACTGAACACTCTACCCATTAAGTCCCCATTTTTTCTTCCCCTAACCCTGGCTATTACCACCTTACCCTCTGATTCTGTGAATTTGACTTCAAATGCTGCATATAAATGGAAGTGTACAGTATTCTTTTTTTGTCACTGGCTTATTTCATTTAGCATAATGTTTGTAAGATATATCCAGGATATAATGACAAGATTTCCTTCCTTTTTAAGGCTAAATGGTATTCCACTGTATGTATACACCATATTTTATTCATTTATTCACTGATGGTACACAATTCACCATTCTGAAACAATATTTTGTAATTCTCCTTTATGAAATAAATTGATTGATAGTATATCTGATCTGAAATATAGTTAAAACTCTTAAGTATAACATAAAAAAGGAAATAAATATTTAGACAATTCAATTATTTCAACTAATTGCTTAATTTTCTCTTTTGCATGGGATACAGTGTAATAATTTGATGCATATATACAATATGTATTCATCAAATCAGGATAATTAGCATTTCTGTTTAAAATATTATCATATCTTTAGGCTTGGGTTCTTCAAACTCTTCTAGTTCTTTATAAATATAATACATTTTTGTGTACTATAGTTACCCTACTGTGCTGTGGAATACTAGAACTTATTCCTGTGTATACTAATCATTTATTATACTCGAAGACAAGTAGCTATAATCCTGGCACTCAACTGACACAGGAGGACTACAGGTCAGTGACTTAGCAAAATGCTATCTCAAAATAAGAAATGAAAAAGAAATGGGCTCAGTGCAAAAGCCTGAGTTTAATGCCCTTAAAAAGCAACTAAAATGTACATTCATGTGACAGTGTTGAGTTAATTCAGGTAATTTCTATTCCATGAAAGGTGTTCCCATTAATGTATGCACATATTCAAAGTGATTGAGGCAAGGAGACATTTTTAAAGGTGAAATAAGCTATATTATATTATTTTGAAATAGTTATCCTTGACTACAAGGACTAACAAGAGAGGTGGCACCAGTCCAAGGTTGACTTCACAGTTGCTGGACAGATGTCCTTGCAAAGTGTGCTTTGTGTAAGCAAGCAGTGGCCTTTGTGCAAGGTTGTGCTTCTGGCAGAATCTTGTGAACAGTTCTTGTTATCAGTCACACAGGAGTAAGAACCCCGCCTTTAGAGAATCCCAGCTTCATTTATTGTTGTGGTTAGGGCTTAACAAAAGGGATTCCACTTGCATTCTGACAGTTTTCACAATATTAAAAAGAGGGCCAGTGAGATAGCTTAGCAGACTTAAGCATTTGCATAGTCAATCCCCAACACTACATGCTATGCTGGCCCCGCCCTGGGTGTGCTGAGCCAGAGACCAAGTCCAGGCATGGTGGCACACGCCTGTGATCCCAGCACTGGGGAGGTTAGAAACAGAAGAGTGTCTGAACTTCACAGTGAGACCCTGTACCAAATACGTTAAAAGAAAAGAACAATATAAAAAAGAACTATAAGTTGTATGAGCATGTTGGTAAAATAGAGTTGCCT